CGATTACTGTATTTTTTGATGCAATAAATACTTAAATTTCTTTCATTGCCATCATGTATTTCTTGATTACCATAAACCTTTTCCGTTTTGTATCTATGCTGTAAAGCAATCACATTTAGCTTGCTAGCTTGTTTGATGTTAAACAAAATAATTAACTGCAGAATAATCCAATTCTATGATTCGTCAACTAGCATAAGCCTCATGAAAATGCTCAGCTGTAACACGTTATATAAAATATTACATAACACATCCTCCTATTTCTTCGTTACATTGCATTTCTACAGGTTTCGAAATGGATAAGTTAACGAGGGTGTGCTAAATCAGCCATCATTTAGATAACAGTCGTAAAAACGTAGTAGTAGCTTTGATTCTATTCACTTTCTTCACACCAATCATTACTTCTACAAGATACGTGGTACATGAGGATTAAGAATATAAGACAGTAAGATTTACTTGGTGTTGTTTACTTGAATGCTCCCATTGATGCTCAGGACTGCAGTCAACCAGTCTCCTATTAATATATGTACATACTATGCGTCTGCATCGATATTGCTTAAATTTACAAGCATTATAACCAAAGATGGATAATAGCTAGCAACGGAATCTGGGACTCGCGTTTCCTCTTATTCGGAGCTCCTCATCTGGATTTACCTGGATTTCAGAGTTGATGTTTATAGTGCTTGCGAATTAAAGTAATATCACTCTCCAAACAGAGCTCTACCTCTTTTCATTGTAGCAGACAGAAATACAGAGAACATATCTTATATCGTACAAATAAAGTATGAAAGTCTTCTCTCATCTGTCATATTCAAAAGATTATGTTTAAAGTCATAGAGAGACAACCATAGACAAAAAAGCTACTAAAATGTACCCGGATAGTGAGAAAATACGACGATCATTGTTGAGGTTCCGGTCTGCTTTACTCAATAACTTTGACTGATTAAATGGCTATGCGGTATTCGGATGGTAATAAATTTTTATTCAAACTGAAACATTTACAATGTTTAACTATTAATATCATAGTCACTGAACATCGTTTGACTACTGTCACTCATTAGCCTAGCGTATAACGTTTCGATACTTATTGCAAACCGTACTGTAATCCGGGAAGTTTGTGTAATTTTCAAACATTTAATCGATGACTAGGGAATAGGCTGACATTCATACATTGGATTTGCTGGATCAAACTAGGTCTATGATCTTAATAGCGAATAAGACTTGTTTGAAACGTAAGTGACATCACGGAATGATAACAATACCCGATCGAGAAAGCAACTAGTCATCTCATTGTGAACCTAACTTTTCACTTCTTGCGTTCTCCTGGATATATTGCTCATATAAGAACTTTAGTATAAATTTGAACGCATAAATTTACAGTATTTGAGCGCCGATTTATTCCTAGTCATTTAGGATGAAAATGCAAACTGGTTTACGTTTGGCTACAATTCTGTGGTGCTCTTATGGTCCGTTAACCGTCAATTAGAACACTGACTTACTGACGGGAACAATGACGTATAAACCATTAAGAGCAGTGCAGATTCAAATGTGAGTTCTTATTGGTCATTCGAGTTAGTAGCTACTAGCATAACTAAGCGGGTTGATGCCAGTACACCAATATCAGCCTCCGTCATACGAATCATATACTTCAGACATACTGGGTTCATATGCTAGCAAAACATACCACATCATACCACAAAACAAAAAAATTCAATTGTACAGGTTCGAGCCAAAAGTGGATATGATTGTGAGAGACTGTAATTAGTAAAGTGGGTATAACTTAAGAAGAACAAATCATATAATAATAGTCAGTAAGTGAAATAAAAGCTCATAATAAAAGACATACGAATATGTATATATAATACAGTAACTAAATAATTTTGCAATTAGTATGTATATAATAATAAGATGCAGCTGGACGATTCTAAACTTTGCAGATAATATGACTCTTCTATCGCACACGCAACAACGAATGCAAGAGAAAGCAATCAGTGTAGCACCAGTAGGTCTTAACATACACAAAGAGAAAATCAAGATTCTCCAATACAACACAGCATGCACCAATCACATCACACTTGACGGAGAAAATTTGGAAGATGTAAAAACCTTTACATATCTGGGTAGCACCATTGATGAACACGGTGAATTTGAATCGGATGTGAAGGAGTGAATCGGCAAAAAAAGAGCAGCATATTTACAACTGAAGAACATCTGGAACTCAAAACAACTGTCCACAAGCCAACACCAAATTCAGAATTTTCAATACAAATGTCAAAACAGTTCTACTGAATGGGTCGGAAACTTGGAGAACTACGAAAGCCATCATCCAGAAGATACAAGTGTTTATTAACAGCTGTCTATGCAAAATACTTCGGATCCGTTGGCCAGACACTATCAGCAACAACCTACAATGGTAGAGAACAAACCAGATTTCAGAGGAGGAAGAAATCAGGAAGAACATTTTTCAAACATTGTTTGTGTTCCTTCAACCTTACATTCAATTGTCCCATACATTCAATGTTCCCAAATCCTCGGTTGATTTGAAGAAGCTAGAGAATAAATCGGCGATAGCGTTACATGCGTTAGAAACAGGACACAAGATTAATTTTGAAGGGGCCAAAATACTTCAGAAAGGTTTTAACACCCATAGGGAAAGATTGACAGCAGAAGCGCTGTATATATGGGCGAACAAGAACAACCTGAACCGAAAAGATGGTATTCAACTGGCGAATACCTGGCAAGAGAACTACAACAACCACCATCAAGAAGGTACAAGTATTTATCAATAGCTGTCTACGCATGATACTCAACATCCATTGGCCGGATACCATCAGCAACAGCCTTTTGTGGGAGAGAACCAACCAGCTTCCAGCTGAAGAGGAAATTAGGAAAAGACGATGGAAATGGATAGGACATACATTGAGGAAATCATCAAACTGCATTACGAGACAAGCGCTAACTTGGAATCCTGAAGGGAAGCGGAAAAGAGGAAGGCCAAAGAACACATTACGTCGGGAAATAGAAGCAGATATGAAAAAGATGAATAAGAACTGGAAAGAGCTTGAAAGGACTGCCCAGGACAGGGTTGGATGGAGAATGCTGGTGAGCGGCCTATGCTCCTTCACGAGGAGTAACAGGCGTAAGTAAGTAAGTAAGAATACCTGGCAAATATCGTTGGACAAGTAATTGAACCCTATCTTTTATTTTATTTTCAACCCGTTTATGTCAAATGTATCGTTATCGCTGACTGAAAATTCAATAAGGCTTTAGCAATACAATTATGTATCATTTGTACTCTTAAATATTGACATGTACATCAATGATTCATTAACAAGTATTTAACCTTGAACTTGAACTTTTAGTTATTTTCTTAAATTTCCATACATAACATAATAACACAGAATATCAATAATTAATCTAACACATACATACATACTTACACACTCACACACACACATACACTAGATGTTGTTACAGGTAATTATTTCCATGTAGTTGAATCTTTTTCAAATGGAATTGGAGTTAACTGACTCATTATATCCCATGTTACAAAAATCAACTTCCAAATTTGATTGGTTTAACAAAGTACAGTTATGATTGTTAAAAAAGCTATATAATTCTTTGATGATTTTGATTTTGATTATTACCCTGAAGAAGTCCAGACAAGTTAGCTGGACGAAACGTTGGAATTATTTAAAATTTCAATCGCTGAGATTATTTCAAATATAATTTATAATGAGTTATTAGTTCTTATTAATCTCGTAAAAAGTCATGATCTAACTTTGAAACTTCAACAACAATAAATCTTGATCTTGTTCAATAATACGCTGAATGAATCATTGGATTTCATAAAGCAGAGAACATGTTCAGTTTATTTGTGCTGGTTAAACATATATATATATATATATATATATATATATATATATATATATATATATATCAGATTATTCAGCAAAAAAACAAAAGACGAAATCTAAGATTAACATAATTCTGATATGATGGGAAGAAAGTCAATTTTCGATTGATTTACTCATTATGAGGTTTATTTAACATTACTTATGTTTTGATTCAATGTAATGTATAGCAACTCAATTGAGTTTGCTCTCACCTAATTCGGTTAAGCCCTTTTATTAACTTATTAAACGGACAAAGTCATCTGCACTATAATAACTTATTGTACCTTTATTATTGTTATGCTTGTATGAACATGTATGCTCGGCAAGCCTTACTGTTTACGCATTTATTCACGCTACTAGCTTGACTATTGACCGCTTAATTCACTCGATGATTCATTCATTTCACTATGTATATATACGTCCATGTTATTCATATTCATTACTCGCTCGATCGCTCACTCTTGCCTTTGCTCTCTCTCGTCCGCTCGCTTGCCTATTTGCCTTTCGGCACAGCTATTTCATGCTTGCTTAACGCATCTGTAATTTTGGATATCTGTGTGTGGTCCTATAATAAACGTAATTAACACTTCGTTTTTGCCTTTTGATTAATATACCTTTGGAGCGTTATTTAGAGACGGTTACCGAGACGAACTGTATACGGATTTTAAGGAATATATCGAACACTGACCACCACAAATGATTATTCAATGTATTATTTATTTTCTTTTCCCGTATGATATTTTATTCTGTATAATATATGATATTCTTGCATTCAATTGACATGAACTATGCTCTATATGTGATTTGTGATAACTGAGTATTTTTCATGTATGTGATTTCATTCTAATTAATAATCCAAGTGGGTTTACAACCAATATATAAATGAGTGTATTTTCGGCTAAGGTCGTCGTCGTCATCATAGTGTTTTGGGGCTAATAAAACTTTGCTTATACCAGTTTTGTGTTCTTAATTTCGCGTTGTGGGAATTTGGGAGGTCCCTTCGTTCCGAGCATAAGTGGTCAGCGATTGCAACATAACGATTAGCAACGACCAGATACAAAAAGTAGCATTCGATACGGAAGTCATAACAACTGGCGACGGGGATTTCGGAAAACATTCACAAGTTATAATAAATTCTATACAATGGTTTTATTTATTTCTGTACAAGAAAACATTATGTCATACATAAATGGGAAACACACATTTGATTTAATGTTTAATTGTAAAATATATACACATACAAATGCAAATGAATATCACAAGATAGCTCATTCCAATAACTCTAAATAAACAAAGAAAAAATAGAAAATCACAAATGTCAATAGTAACTTCAGTTAATTAATAATGATAATTCTAATGATATAACTGATATTTAAATGGTGTGAAATAAAAATTTTATTATTGAAATCATGATATTTTCTTTTACAGATCTGTTGAAACATCAAACGCTTTGTATGTATCCTAAAGATTATGAGTTTGATCCTTATGAGTATATTGGATTTGCACTATCATTTCGATGTTATCTAATTAGGTTAGATGTTTCATTGTAAATTAATAAATATAATTTTTTTCATGATTAACCATAAATTACTTATTTAAATGATAAATAATAAAGAATTGAAGAAATGCTTTGAATGAAAAATTCAAAGTTACATTTACTTTAATAGAAAACAACAGTATCTTGAAATGATCTCATTGAAACATTTGAGTGACCTATTCATTATAATTTATGAAATAAGTAAAATCAAAGACAATAATTCTTTGGATGTTTCTTGTCATTGATCCTTGAATCAAATTCAATATGTCTTCATGCTGATTACAATAATTTAACAATCAGAACTGAAAATTAACCGTACAAATTTGTATTCATATCTCAATCAAAATTGTATTTATGATAAGATGTGTACATTTGAATACATTTTGATGTACATTGATTCACCACAAATAATTATTTTTAGATAGATAAGTTAATGGTATGGGATTATTTTTTCCTAATTTCAAGATTCCTAAACTTACACTATTTTCCAGGCGGGTTGACCTCCTGAAATGTAGGAAAGAAGTGATAAGATGATATATTGAAAATGGAATACCAAGAACTTTGTTAATGATTTACTGTGCTGGATAAGTAGAAGCGGTTAGTTCTACCTTATTATAGTTTCAGCTCCAATAAAACCGATATTCAAGGTTTCCTGTCGACTACCATCAACCATCTTACATCATACTATTATGAACGCAATATCATGCCCTCTGGATATATGGTCTCATTACAACTTGAATAAATGTTTAAGACCAGTACAACAGCTTAGTCAAAAATGACATATGATTTTGTATATTATAATATCAGCTACAAACAACCGTTTCATTATAGTTTGCATCGATTTTTAGGTTCGATGATGTGATTTAAATAGATATCCATTGAGTTCATAACTCACATCTTATCTCATTTAGGACTTACTGGCTAGATAAATCTGCATCTCATATACGTCACACAACTAAGCGAATATAACGTTTTAATGAAAAAGGAAATATAGAGTTGATGCTTGAAGTGAAAGGTACTTGGTTACAATCTCTGGGTCCAGGGTAATGCTGTGATGCACGAACAGTCAATCAACTAGTCTCAAGTAGAATGAAACAAACACTCTGGATCCCACTGACAACCACATGTTGTATCCTCTATATAAACTTGTAACATAATGTTTTGATTGAGTCAATCCATAAAAGTTGAATATATCTAAAGTAAGATTATGTCCGTCTGTAGCTCTTCCAGACATACTGCTCGTCCCAAGCCCGGGTAAAGGAGGAGGGTTGGGCATAGGGTTAGCGACCCCATCCGGAAGAAAAACGCTAACCAGAAAAAATAGTTGATATCATTTAAACTCTGTCCTGGGAGTTAGAAGGTCTTCATTTAGAAGAAATATGACGCCTAAGGGTGAAAGCCGAGTTCCTTCGGAATCCATGAGGCCGATGCCTCTTCTAACAACCAGAGCAACAATTTTTATAGGTACATGGAACGTCGGGACAATGTGGGAGACCAGGAAGACTAGTCAAATAGCAACGGAAATGAGGAGATACAACTTGGCAGTACTCGGAATCAGCGAAACATATTGGACCCAAGCTGGACAACAAAGGCTAAATACGGAAGAAATGCTGCTATACTCCGGTCATGAAGAGGAAGATGCTCCACACACTCAGGGAGTTGCTATAATGCTGTCCAAAGTAGCACGAAATGCACTTGTAGGATGGGAATCTCACGGATCCAGAATCATCAAAGCATCATTCAAAACAAAGAAGGAGGGAATCACAATGAACATTATCCAGTGTTATGCACCCACTGATGATAGCAACGACGACGTTAAAGATCAATTCTTTGAGAGACTACAATCAATCATAGAGAAGTGCTCAAGAAAAGACCTCACCATTCTGATGGGAGATCTAAACGCCAAAGTCGGAATAGACAACACCGGATATGAAGATATTATGGAACTGCATGGACTGGGAGAGAGAAACGAAAACGGTGAAAGATTTGTAAATCTGTGTGCATTCAACAAATTGGTCATAGGCGGCACAATATTTTCACGCAAACGCATACACAAAGCTACATGGATCTCACCCGACCACACCACAGAGAGCAAGGTAGATCATATTTGCATCAATAAGTTCCGAAGGACAATGGAAGATACGAGAACTAGGAGCGGAGCGGATATAGCTTCAGTTCACCACCTGGTTGTGGCCAATTAAAAACTGAAGCTAAAGAATAACTGGACAACTGGACAAAAAGCACTACAAAGGTTCAATACAGCCTTCCTTCGAGATACTGACAACTCAATGGATTCAAGATAGCTCTCAACAACGGGTTCCAAGCCTCACAGGATCTACTGAAGGACGAAGAAACTACAATGGAAGATAACTGGAAAGGTATCAAAGAAGCATTAACTTCAACGTGTCAGGAGGTTCTGGGCCGCAAGAAACATCATCACAAGGAATGGATCTCTACAGAAACACTGGACAAGACCAAAGAAAGGAGGAACAAGAAGACAGCAATTAAAAACAGCCAAACATGAGCAGAGGAAATCAAAGCACGAGCTGAATACATTGAAGCAAACAAGCAAGCGAAGAAGAGCATTAGAGCCGACAAAAACAGAAATATGTGGAGGAACTCGCAACTACGGCGGAAACAGCTGCAAGTGAAGGAAATATGAATCAGCTTTATGATACAACGAAGAAACTAGTAAGAAAATATAGTAAACCAGAGAGACCGGTCAAAGACAAAGAAGGCAGGCCTATCACTGAAATTCAACAACAGCGGAACAGATGGGCAGTGTACTTCGAGGAACCTTTGAATAGGCCGGCTCCATTAAATTCAACGAACATCGAAGCAACACACACAGATCTTCATATAAAAGTCAACCCACTAACGATGGAAGAAATCAGAATGGCCATCAGACAAATCAAGAGCAGGATAGCAGCAGGACCCGACAATATACCAGCTGAAGCACTGGAGTCAGACATTGAAGTAACTACAAGCTTGCTTTATCTTCTGTTCAGGAAGATTTGGGAGGAGAAACAAGTGCCGATGGGCTGGAAAGAAGGACACCTCATCAAGATTTCAAAGAAAGGAGATCTGAGAAAATGCAAAAACTACAGAGACATCACACTACTGTCAGTTTCGGGAAGAGTCTTCAACAGGGTGTTGTTAAACAAAATGAAGGACTCCGTACGCGCCCAACTTCCAGATCAACCAGCCGGAATCCGTAAGGGTCGGTCGTGCACAGACCAAATTGCGACACTACGGATCATCGTCGAACAATCAATTGAGTGGAACTCGTCACTCTACATCAACTTCATTGATTATGAGAAGGCCTTTGACAGTGTAGATAGGAGAACGTTATGGAAACTTCTTCGACACTACGGAGTTCCTGTGAAGATTGTCAATATTATCCGGAACTCATACGATGGAATACAGTGCAAAGTAGTGCATGGAGGACAGCTGACTGAGGCATTCCAAGTAAGGACCGGAGTCATACAAGGCTGTCTACTCTCTCCCTTCCTGTTTCTTCTGGTGGTCGACTGGATTATGAAGACCTCGGCATCTGAGGGAAAACACGGCATGCAATGGAAAGCTCAGAACCAATTCGACGATTTGGACTTCGCAGATGACCTAGCCCTCCTATCTCATACACACGAACAAATGCAGACAAAGACAGCCAGCATAGCAGCAGTCTCTGCATCAGTAGGCCCCAACATACACAAGCGGAAAATCAAGGTCCTCAAATACAACATCGAGAACAGCAATCCAATCACTCTTGATTGCGAACCTCTGAAAGATGTAGAATCATTCTGTTATAACGTGTGATCCGCCTATTGGAGAGCAGCCTATTATCGATCGAAACAGTGACGCATAAAATACGTGCGAGCAGCCTAGAGTTCTGGTTGGCCCTGCTTCCCTGTCTAGCCCAGCCAATTGAGTTCAGAACACAAGTCTCAGCCTCGGTGATATGAATCATTATATTTCAAAAATACTCTGTTTATATAGCAATCAAACAGATCGCAACGTACCATAAAATAGAAAATAACATTTGTACAAGATTTAACCTTCAGGAAATGACACAAATAAATATTGAACAACGGGAAAATGACACGTTGGAAGAATATTGATCAATGGAGAAATGACACCATTTCTTAGTCAGGAATGGCATAAGATAATTTCTGGGTTAATTTCTGAATAACCCAACGCATTCACATAACTGGGAAGCATCATCGATGAACAAGGAGGTTCAGATGCTGACGTAAAAGCGAGGATTGGCAAAGCAAGGACAGCATTCCTTCAATTAAAGAACATATGAAACTCAAAACAACTTTCAACCAACATCAAAGTCAGAATCTCCAATGCGAATGTCAAGGCAGTTCTACTGTACGGAGCTGAAACTTGGAGAACTACAACAACCATCATCAAGAAGGTACAAGTATTTATCAATAGCTGTCTACGCAAGATACTCAACATCCATTAGCCGGATATCATCAGCAACTGCCTTCTGTGGGAGAGAACAAACCAGCTTTCAGCTGGACAGAAAATTAGGAAAAGAGGATGGAAATGGATAGGACATACATTAAGGAAATCATCGAAATGCATTACAAGGCAAGCCTTAACTTGGAATCCTGAAGGGAAGCGGAATAGAGGAAGGCCAAAGAACACATTACGTCGGGAAATAAAAGCAGATATGAAAAGGATGAATAAAAATTGGAACGAGCTGGAAAGTATCGCCCAGGACAGGGTTGGATGGAGAATGCTGGTGAGCGGCTTTTGCTCCTTCGCCAGGAGTAACAGGCGTAAGTAAGTCAGTAGGATTATTCAACGTACAGTCAGATAATCAACAACCGAATAATACAAACTATTACAAATTAAATTATGATTCTTATGTATTTTTAACTCAAATAGTAAGTAGCTAACCTGCCGTATTCAAATGACCAGTATAACGTTTTTCTTCTGAAAAGATGGGTAGGAAAACAGGAGCAGTATGGCTTATTTTTCTAAATCGATACTTAATTTATGACTGGAGAGTTAAAATGCTTCCTCAAAAGTTAGAAGTTATTCAAAATATCAATCATAATCGAGGAATAATAGAGAATAATGCAGTAGTACGATAATGTTACTCAGTCATTACTTTTTATGTAATTGAGTATTATCAAATGTCGTTGAACTCAAAGGTCTCAAGTCACTTATTCTTGATTATCAACAGTCGACTGTGTACATATTAATCACTGGTGTAATGTTTAAATATATTTCCATTTATTGAAATTTTATTATGAATTGAGTTAAATGGTACAATTGTTCACACAGATTGAAACTGACTACAGTACTATGAAAAATAATGGAGTGTTTACCAGTAAGTTACTGTCAACTTTTTTATAGTCTATAGAAATGACTATATATTTCTTCAGGTTAAACATATTTGCCAGTTTCTTGTAAATAACCACTTATCTGATTGTTGTCATGTTATTATGACACTTTCATTCTGTGTTAAAATAGGTCATTATCACAGTTCAGTTGGTTAAAAAATGAAGATCATATATATGAATGTAATATTAAGAAGGTTATGATAATTCAATTTACCTATAACACGTTTCTTCGTGATGTCCACATTCATTGACGGTTCTGTGAAACAAAATTATTGTTATTTTACATGTGATAAAGATTTTCAGTGGATAAAAAGACGTTAAAAACTACTTACTACTGATTGATTAGAGATCATTGGCCTGTATCACAACTTATAATGACTGAGATTTCTATCCAATACTACTGATTACTTTCTGGTTCAACTTAGTTGAGATGAGAATTGGGCATGACTAACAATAGAACGGATAAGATCAAACATATTTTGGTTCATGTCTAACAGTTGAATGTAGAAACAGTGTTTCATCCCATTTTTTGTACTTATCGGTTGAATATACCTTCATTCAAATGTTGGCTGAGGCTTGGACATAGCACTTAATAATTTAAATTCAAACATAATATCTAAGAAAATCAACAGCCTTTAAGATACGAATTGGTCAGTAAAGTTTTGTGATTTCCAATTGTTAATAATCAGCACTGATATTTATTTATTAAGCATCTCATTGCATTTCTTGCAATATCTTAGTTAATGTATCTTTCAAAAGAACTCCTCAAACTAATTAGTTAACTGGGATATGAAGTTTTTACAATGTGATCAGTTCATGATCGTCACGTAATATACCGTCACATTTTTCTCAAGTAAAAAAGAAACTGGTATTCAGAGACAACTAGAATTCATGCATCCATCAGACGAGTAACTTATGAAATATCTTCAGTATGAAGACTTTTGAAGATTGTAGTATTTTCACATTTTAATTCTCAAGTCGATCTAGGCTAGATCATGACTGAAGATCTGGAAGCAATGAGCGGTAGTTTCATCTTACAATGGGGCTTTTCAGTAGTGCGCATTTACAATGCCGTAAACAGGAATCAAACCTAGGGCTTTGGTCTTGCGCACTAACGTTTAACCTCTAAACTACTGATTCGGTATTCAACAGTAATATTGTTTAATTCTAATGGATTCATTATCTTGCTAAACCCTTCATTCATCGCCTGATGTGGATAACATATTCAGAGTAAACTGGATTTACTTTTAAACAACTAAACAAATTATAGTAATCTTAATACCTGGTTTATCCGATTCTTTTTCGTATTTCTGTGTAAACATGAAAAAAAAATTACATACCCACGTTTAGATAGTATGACATAATCAAAACTTGTTAATTGCAGACATCAAAATCTTATTGTATAAACACTTAAGAGTAAAAATCAAGTAATAAAAATGTTACATAACAGACATTATCAGGAACAAATGTACACTGATTATGTCCATAGACGTAATTAACCTATGACAGGTTCAATTTTTAAAGACAAATACTAATTTCAATGGTTAAGATTATGAGTCAGTTGAAACTAGACCACCATGGGAAACCTGGAAGCACTGGACGACCGTTTTGTCCTATTGGGAGAGTCCTCAGCAGTGTGGCTCCACATATGCTCACCAGTGACTGGCTTCAAGAGGAATTTCTTGGAGTTCTAGTGAGGAGCAGTAAACAGAGGAGTTCAACCGGGTCAGTTGTGAGATAGTAACTCACTGAAGACAATGGTGAATGTATCGATCGATTTCGTGAGTTAGTTGAAGATAGACATTAACAACATTGAATGCCGGCCAGCTCAGTGGTCTAGTGGTTAAGTGCTGGCGCGCGAAACCAGTTAGTCCTGGGTTCGAATGTCGCAGGGAGCGAGGTCATGAATGAGCACTGCTGAGGAGTCTCACAATAGGACGAAACGACCGTCCAGTGCTTCCAGGTTTTCCATGGTGGTCTATCTTTAATTGACTCATGATCTTAACCATTGAAATTACTACAATCTCTACAAAACTCCTTCTGATAACAAATTTTAATCCTAAAAATGTTTTGAATGATACTATTTATAATTTATAAACATGAATATTCTATAATAGTAATGATAAATAACTTACAACTATTCAATGTTCATCATTGTTTTAATATGCAATAGATAAAATGAAATAGAAATTCAATATAATAATGAATTATTTGTTTATATTTTAAAACATGTTCAATTTGTTATTGATCTGTTTTATTTTATAGATCTTTTTTCTTGAGTTTTATCAAAAAGTAATTTGACCAAGTAAATGTTATTATCTTTCTATTTTGGTAAGTATATTGATTAAAGTGATGTAGTTTTGAATACTGTGCTTTCATTACTGGGACATATTTAGTAATTTAATCGTGTTGAATATTTTATCTCATCAGAAAATTATGTTCAATGTGGTACTGTGGTGTGTGCTATTTATGTAGACATAAATAGTATAGGAAGTGAGTCATGAACAGAATGTCTGGCAGCAGAGAGACGAGAAGATCGAACAACAAAAAATGAAGAAAGAATGCAATTTGTATGAAAATGCATGAACGAAGGAATTCTAAGTCATTTGAGACTATTGATGAACAATTTGAAAATTGAAAGTTTATTAAATGGTTGATAGATTCAACTAACTAGTTCTATAATTTGTTGTCAAATGCATTCGATTGTCCTCATTGGTGTTCTTGTTCACTACAGTACTAATAACTAATTGTACTCTTTTCAAATACACTTTACATAACCTCTCATACATCTTTAATAGAACATTTTACATCACTGTCAATGTAAATAACTCAAAAATAATAAATAATTACTAAGTTAAAGTGATTTCGGTAAAAAATATTGCATATGGATTAGTCAATCAACATAGAGAAAATATAAGTTTTACATATTTTGTGGAACTCAAATTTTATGCATAGCAATAAGAAGAATGATCATTTAATACTTTAGAAATAAAAAAGGTTTCTACAATCATACGATGAAGATCATGTTTTACAGCACGTGAACTGTTCATCTTTCTTCTTATATATTAAACATAATAGGTAAATCGATACTACACGTAAAACCTAATCATAAGCATTCTATCTTGAAAGAAGCCTCAATCTAACAGGAATATATTTTTGATTAATGAATTATATGTATAGTATCTCGTGATTCTATGCATAGCATGCTTTTAGCCTTGTCGCTACAAAGCGTTTTGTATTATAGCTAATATTAGTTCATAATTAGAACTAAATCCTAATTCTTCAATCCTGAACTTTAATATTTATGCGTAACTAATATCAATCAGAATACATTTAAAAATCTACTTAGATCATTTTCACAATTCTTGAAGTCCAGTGCTCTATATCCTTACGGAAGAATCTTTCTTTCATGTTATTGCCAGTTTAGATGAAGAGCAACCTGTAAAGTAAAACCTTTTCGTTATACATAATACTTTACTGTTCTCTTTCTCATGAATGGATCTTTTAAAAAAGCTGTATTTTTGATTGAATAAGAAATACTGAAAAATTTGTTGTTGATTTAATCTTGTGTCTGTTTTATATTCGTTATGGAACTAAGTGTGCTCATTGGACACTGTAATAGTTATTAATACACTGTCAACGGTACATCTCTTCCATGAGTGCAGGAGCACAAAAACTTATGGATAATAGTACGTCACGACTTGAAAATAACTAGGCATTACAACTCAGCAGCTTCCAAAGGTTTTCGTGAGTGATGGTCACTTTGCTGAGGATTCAAATGCTTTGACAAGGATATACTTCGAATTTTATATACCGCCTATGTAAGACCACACCTAAAGTACTGTATTCAAGCAGATGGTGAATCTTATCAAGAAAACTAACTCACTTGAACGTTTTTAGTGTGTTTAATCGTCTTATATGCTTATTCCTTTCATCTAGATATTTCAACAAGTCATCTAATTATTTTTGTTTTAATATGTCACAATGGCTTTTAATCGCACAACCTATTCAGGTACGTTTCTGAAAAGTGTACAACCTTTCGTTTTATAGGTTACAAAAAGCCTGTTCAGAGATAATGTGGTTGCGGGTAATATGTAGCGGAAAAATGTAGATTGTTTAGATGTCGACTGACTGGACTGCTAACTTACAGCCGGCGATCACTCAATATTGTCAGGATACATCAAGAAATAAGAAAAGGAATCTTGTTGAAATACTTCGGGCTAAAAAATCCATTTCGTACTAAAACTATAATAATGAATAAGGCTGGTAATAATTAGTGAATGATCTTACTCAACTCCCTTATTAATGGCGCTTAAAACCCTAAATAACCGACATGAAAGCGAGGAATCGACATTTCCTCTTTGTTTACTCTGTCATCCGCTTTGTTTCTTAATTTTTCACTTTTGTTCCTCCTTTATTGGTTGCTTGAGTTCCCGCCTCATCTTATCGCAGAGCGTGATGTTACTCTATATTGTCATTCCTAATCTTTAATTACAATCAACGTGTTGATATTTCTGATATTTTTGCTCCCTACAGAATTAGTAATCTTCGAGGCCATAGCAAGAAGGTTCAAAATTTGTGATTTAATAAACTCAAAGCCGAGTTACGTTTATTTCATCGACCCAAACAACCAATAAAGGGGAAATAAAGGCAAACCAATCGAGTGGTCAATTACTAGCACTTCTTACCTGAACAAGTGGTATCGGCCCCATCAATTAAACATTTTCAAGAAGTGACTAGACTCTCACTAGAAAACGAATCTAAAGGATTATCACGGTTTCGCGAACAGACTTTCTTTAACTATGAAGACTTTTACAGGTTACACACTCATAATTACATAATGATGTTGTAGTTTATATTACGAATTAACTTTAGTTAGACAACTAATAAGAATTAAATATCGATACATTTTCGGTTATTAAATTAACTTCAATAGACTTACCTAATTCAGATAAACCAAACATATTCTCATGATAACTTGTAATAATAATCTCTTCTTGATCTTGTAACATTTCATTAAAGTAAAATTCTGTTTGATCAACGGGAATAATATACATTCGATGAAATCCTGACGAATCTTTTTTAAAAATCACTATTAAATCATGCGGATCGCAAATTTTTTCGTTTATTTTCCATGTTATGTATAAAGGATTTTCATTTTTCATACCTATTGTTGTACTTTGCACTCTAAAAACTAAGCATAAAAGTGATGGTTACACTATATTGTTACAAATGTAAATAGTTAACAGTATGGAACGATCTTTGAGAAACATAGAACAGCTGTTTTATCCTAATATGGGATTAATTAATGAGAATGTGTATAGATAATGTCACAACTAAGGTTTATCTCTAAATAAATAAGCACAATTTTTCATGAAATACTAATGACCTAGTATATGTATTGTTCATTTGGGAATGTTATTTCGAGATATCTGAAAACAACAGAAATCATAATGACGATGAATGCTATATGCGTATGAGGTGGATATTGTGAAAACATGAGGTTTTTGGATTCTAGTATACCTAATTGTACCAGAGTTTTCATCAAGTGATTATTTCCACATGAACTATGGTTCGTGTCACTTACTAATGAATAATGTAATTATAGTAATTTCCTACATGCGTTAGTGTGCAGTTACAGGTCACATGTGCAGAGATATTCAAGTTTCGAGTGGTGGTGCTATAGATTGCAAAGAATTAATCTGCTTTCCACTCTCATCTTTGCCATTGAGTTACAAGAATGTCGAAGAATAATTAGGGTTGAGAATTCGATTGTGGTGAATTGGTAGTTGTCTTTTAGAAATTAGGTCACCGGTCATCCCGTAAATATAGACAGTCTGATCTGCAATCGGACTGAATTGCATGCAAATGCTATTTCATCAACGATCATTGAACACAAGCCTCAAAATACAATGCCGAATATGTGTTTCTCTTCTGGCCTCTGAATTCATACGTCAGTCACATGTATACGTATATTAAAATAACTGTGATCTATAGATGGTGGCTAGTAGTGGAATGGTAGACACGCGTTTCGTCGTAGTTGGGACTGGTCAGCTGTATGCACCTGCATCCCACAATGCATGTTCACTCCGAGACCCGAACTCAATGCCGTTCTCTTCAAAGGCCATGGCGTTATCCAATTGGCTACTGAGTCCTGCAGTGCGCGATACACCAACAAGGTGATCTCATACAGACGTGAAGGCGAGGATCGGTAAAGCAACCACCGTATTCATACAATTCAACAACATATGCAACTCAAAACAACTCTCGACCAATATGAATGTTGGAATCTTGAATACGAATGTCTGGACATTTACACTGCAATGTTTGTTGGCCGATTACTATCAGCAGGAACCTATTGTGATAAAGAATGAATCAACTTCCATCTGAAGAGGAAATAGGGGAAAGAAGTTAAAAGTGGGTAGAACATACATTGCGGAAATCATCAAACTTCATCATGAGCCAAATGCTAACTTGGAATCGTAAATGGAACCTAGCAAAGAGGAAACTCGAAAACCATATTACTCTAGGAATCGGAAACTAACATCAAAATAATGAACCACAACAACAACTACTGTAAAGAATTTATAAGGAATGTCCAGGATAAGTTTCACTGTTACTTCTCTTATTTTAAACATATTTTAATGAATTGAATTTCCACAGATATTCAGTAAAATAATACTAATTATTTTCATTATTTAAGATCATATTTATTGTATATTTTAATAAAAGAAATTTGATAATTACCTCGTTTATAATTTAATTTTCTTTTAGAAAGAACACTATCAAATACAAAAGCCTTTAAAATATTATTTGTAATAGTATACTCTTCATTTATACATGCTGTACCAATAGTTTTTAATTTTGAAGCAGTTTCATCAACTGTTAATTGTCGTGTTATATCATGTTTTTCTAGATTAAGTTTTAATGTATCACTTGATAATTTATTAAATGATGTCCATTGAAAATACAAATATTCTCCAGTTTCTTGTAATAACCAAAATGTTGGTTCTTTTATACTTTCTAATATATACAATAAAGAAAACCAAATAGACAATAATACAAACATCTTTTTTAAAGTCTTATATACATGAATATAAATAAATAATTTAATCTGTATGATCACTGAAAAACCTGGAAGTACAAGACGGTTACTTTATCCTTGTATGAGATTTCTCAGTATTATGTATCTCTAAAAATCTTTATTCTGATAATAATTATGTAATCACTAGTAGTTAGCTTGAAGATAGATGTATTGAAGTTGCAATATGAGTAGCTGTGACTGGTAGAGTTTTATTTGAGTTAGGTATATGATAGTTATCTACCTCAAACAATAGATGAAACGTTACACAAGATTATGGATTGTTTGAAATTAGACATTAACATCGTTGGATACCGACTAAGTAGTTTGAAGGTGTGAGAAACCGAAGCTCCTTCGTTCAATTCTCACTTGTTGGATTGTAGGTGCGCATTGATAATAAATCTTATAGTAGAACGAAACAATGCTTCTAGATTCTTAAATAGTTCTACAACTTAAATGGACTCATGATTTTAATGAAACTTTCTTATTAATTCTATCAATGTTACTCATATTACTGTCATGAAGTTGACTTGTTAAAATCCTGACACTATTGTTGGTACAGTTGCTTGTTATGACTATTCAATAAACTGGTAGCGTCTTCATACACTGCCTGGTTGGGGTCCGCGTGACTATCGTAACCAGTGGTTGAAGACTCTTGGTGACATGGTTCAGAATCGATCACAATGGCGTCGGTGTATACACACTCTGTCTTCCTTAAATTAAGAGATTAAAATCACTTCAAATCTTTCTTTCTAGGA